TAATGTATTTTCCAGATTCCAAACCGTCGTCTCTCAACCACGAAACACGAACTAGAACCCTTAGAGTCCTAGACATACCATGTTCTAAATAACCTCCAATTGTCCAGCGGATTTCCAGCGGGACGGCAGCCATGGCGCCACCACGGCGAGCCGTGCCGACCACGCCGGTGGGCAGGGGCTCTAGTGTTTTCATGGATTGGTAGTGTTAGTTTAGGACATAGGGTTTATAGGGTCTATTAATTAGTCATCCAGGAGGGTTTACATGTTCCGACAGCGGTCTCTTAGAGTTGTAGGTGCCGGTCTGTTATTCAGAGGGCGCGACCCCCCTGGGCAAGGCGCCCCACAGTGAAATCGCAAATGCTTCGTGGTACATGATCACAGATCTCATCTTGACGATGTTGCCGCAGATTCTGGAGATCCACAAACTTGGCCCGGCCGGCCTGCAGAAGCTTCATAGCACAGCAATGTCTGGCTTTGCTGTGGCAAGAGTTGAGACCTTGCGTAGTATAGATTTCATTATTGGCACTCGGGTTCCTGCGCCAAGGTTTCATCCAAAACCAAAACAACTTGTCTTCGGAACTTCCCAAGCGCGCATGTGTGTACTTTTTGAGTGGATATCATTCTGTTCTTGGATGCCTTAAATTCTGGGTATCCGAAGCTTGTGTTTTGTGTACGTGTTGTGTACGTCCCTAGTTGGCTCCCTATATTAGCAACCCTTCATCCCTTTGAGCTCCCACCCTCTTCAGGGCTTTTGTTTGTTTTTTTTTGGGGGGTGGGGGTGGTCAGGGTGGGTTTATACGGTTTGCAATTTTGGGTTCAGGCTTGTTGTTTGATGCTTCTGCTTCTGTGTTTATGGCTCATGTTGTTGAGTGCATCGGTTGATTTTTGGTTTATGGCTACTATGTGCAGGGATCTCCCCAAGAAATATGGTGTTCGACGTACGTTGAACCCGAACTCCAAACCCAAAGAGTTTCTATCCATCTACCATGGCATGGAAACCGTATCATCTTCCATAGATCCCTAGTATGCAAACCTAAGCTAACCCAGAGGCTCCTTATATACCACCATTATGGAATTAAGCCCCCAAACCCATCATAAGGATGGTCTTTTGGGGCCTAACTCCATAATTGTAGTATACATGGACCCTCTGGGTAAGTTCCTAAACGCTAAACCCAGACCTCCAAAGCCAAAGCTCTGCAGGCTGAGTTGGAGCGCGACATCAAGGCCGTCGTTGCCAGGGAGCACAAATCCAACACTGCCTGGTTCACGGTTCAGGGTTTAGGGCTTTAGGGTTTAGGGGTTTAGGGTTTACCTGAACCTTGAATAATTAACGATGCCTTCTTAAGGACTTATATCAGGAAGTCAGAATAAGCACCCCCTAAAAAGGTAGGTTTTATGGGGGGGTTGAGGTACTGTACCCCTCAACGAAGGAAAGGAGGAATATACTGATGGGAGGCCAAAAGGGGGGGGTTTAAGATTCTTGGGGTATAGGGACTCCTTAATATGAACCCTATTATGGGAACCCTAATCGCCCTAATCCCTACTGAACCCCCAACCCATTTTCGGCCTCCTATGATATACAGTGGAAGCCCAAAAGTTGGAAACCCAATAGCCTCAATCCTTAAGAGTATTACATAGGGAATCGCAGCACTATTTGGCCTTTATCGGGTTTCCAACTTTATGGGGTTTACTGTACTCCCTCGTGTTTTTTTCCGGCATCCGTGGTGTGGTGCTCGGCCCCTTCACTTAATTCAGGGGCATTACTTGGAGGTTCGTGTGGTAGTTATACGTGGGCTTACAAGTCCCCTAGTTAGTATAGAGTTAGCCTACTTATAACCCTACTTACAACTACCCTAAAACCTAAACCCGATAGAACCCTGAAAGAACCTCACTTATAACTACCCATGAACCTACTTGCCTGGGCTTCGGTCATTCAATGTTTCGGCTTTGAAGGTGATCCCTGCTCCTTGCTGCACGGTTTTCTTATTGTAGAAGCTTTCCGATCACCTCGGATTATACTATACATGCAATCTGAAATCTCACTGCTTCACGACCCTGCTTCTGCAGCTGAATCATGATGAAACCGTCATTACATGGCCCAGTAAGCCCAATACCCCTTAATTCAAGAAAATAGCTTAAATCATCATATGAAGCCCCTATAATGATCTAAGGTATATTGCTTAATTAAGGGGTCTTGGGCTCTCTGAGGGTTTTGATCCATTTCCCTACGCCCTAAACCCTAAACTCGCTGGGTGGCCCCTAGAGCCTCGACCCCTACTCAAGGCTGGACCCAATTGGGAGTTTCAGAAAATTAGGGGTACCTTATTTGGGATCCTTATTATAAGGATCCTACTATTTAGGGTACTATACTAGGGTCCCCTATGTTCGGAAACTCCCAATTTGCCCTGTCCCAGCACCTGTAGACGAAGACTGCGGAGGCGGCGAGGGAGCAGTCACTGCTCGGGAACTACGAGGCAAAGGGTTCCTATAGTCTGCTTAGGAATTATTTTTACAGTTTTGTTCATGTAAAACTCTCCTTAGGAATTATGTTTTTACAGTTTTTCTTCTAAAACCCAAGAGAATATTAACAAATAATATTTGTATTATGGCTCTAGGGGCGGTATAGGTTCAGGGTTCAGGGTTTCGCCGCGGAAAGAACTCTACAAAGAGCTTGCCGGGCTTCTATCTTCTGTCATGTCTCTTACCTGTGGTTAGTAGGGAATGGAGGAATGGGGTACAATTACAACTACTTTTACTACCATTCTGCCATTCCCTACTAACCAAAGGTCTCACCAAGTCTACCGAAATCTTGCCTTATCCCGGCCCGCTATCCGGCCAAGACGGATTCGGAACATTTCTTGAAACCCTGGCTGTAGAGCCTTCTGAGCTGTTAGAAGCATGGTGATATAAGAGTATGAGCTCTATACTTCGATGCTCCTCTGAACTGGATGCGTCGCTGAGCCACGGGTTTGGATTGCATCATGTGCTTCCGCAAGGGTCCATGTACCCAAATAGTATATACATTGGCCTTCAAGTACTCCCCATATCGGGACATTGGGGCCGAAGCATATACTAGTTGGGTACATGGACCCTTAAACCTTAAACCTTATAGACCCCTTATAGGACCCTTATAGAACCCTTATGGTACCCTTAAAGGAACCCTTAAAGGAACCTAGTTGGGTACATGGACCCTTAAGTCATAGGGATCCTAAGGGGTGTAGGGGGAGGGGGGGTAGGGGGCCTTAAGGCCCATAATAAGGACTAATAAGGCCTATTTAAGGAAATATAGTCCCCTACACCCCTCCCCCCTACACCCCTAAGGATCCCTATGATTAAGGCTTCGTAAGAAATGCCATTCAGAGTAGAAGCTCGCGAGGTCGGCAGACATTTTGCGCCAACCGCGGCATTTTTGGGTTCAGCTCGCCCCGCTACGACCCAAAATGATATATATATATATATATATATAATTATACATTAGGAATAGTTATATATATAATATATATATATATATATATATACACCAGAATTAGCACTAATACTTTTGCTTTCGATTCCTTAATAATGTGTCGCTTATCTAATCATCCTAACCCACCCCACAACCCTATCCCAATCATTGAGGCCCCTCATTCCCCAGTATTCAGGCCTGGTTGGCGGTTTAGAGTCCACTGCCTTGGCTTCTTGCGAACAGGGGAAGGGGACGCCACCCTGTAATAGTGACTATAAGGATTATATTAGGGCCCCATTATATTCCTACGGTTGATGATATAAATCCTGCATTACCCATAATAAGGAATACATGGGAATTATGGTATATTCCTTATTATGGGTCATGCAGGATTTATATCATCAACCGTATTATACCACTATTACAGGGCGGGGGCACCTTCAGAGGTATGCACCAGCCGAATCTCTGAGCCCCTGACCCGTCAGGCCTTCTTTTGCAGTTGCTTTCGTTGTTCACCATGTTCCGAACCCTAAGACTCCATGTGCCCATATGGTAGGTACTTATTCCTTAAAGGGGTCCCTATATAGGAACTAGTATATGGGTACATGGAGCCTTTGGGGAAGGTGGTTCGATTTGCTGACTTATAGAGTTCATGGGGGCTTAGGGTCGCTGAAGATATCGTAAACCCCCGAAATTCCTAAACTCTAAACCCCAAACCATAAGCCTTAAAGCAACAGGTTTTATAACCCTGGGCGTGTTGATCTACCGGTTTTCTCCGGCTGCATTCTTAAGCCGCTGAACCTCCTAAATGAAAGGCTTGAACTAACGAACCGATTTCAGAACTCTTCTCCTCGGCTTGAGATCTATACCCTAAACAGGCCCTAAACTGTAAATCCCTGAACTTCCTGAACTTCGAAGCCTCTGAAACCCGAAGCCCCCAAAACCCCGAAGAGCCCGAAACCTCAACCTCATCTAAAGCCCACAAACCCTAATCCCAACCCCCCCAAACCCGAAACCCCTACTGTCACACGATTCTAACCCTGAGCCCACCTCAAACCGACATCCCGAAAACAACCCACTACAAACGCCATACCCCGTCCCCAAGGAACCTTACAGGAACCCTTTTATCCAAGGGAAAAACGGAGGGACCCTGAATAAGGACCCCTAGGTATGTACCCTTGATATAGCCATTATATACCCATGATTTACCCCATTATAGGGTAGGGGTCCCCATTAAGGGTCCCTCTTTCTCCCCTTTGGTTTTAGAGCACCAAGCCTTGTAAATGCCAAAGAACCCGTGCTCTCCTGACACCCTATACAAACCTCTTATAAACCCGTGTACACCCTATAAAATTTAATCTTTGTCGACGTTGGGCAAAATTTTACATTTTATAGGTATTTAAACCCCATAAGGAATCAACATGTAAATTTTTGATCCTATCCCAACCATGAACTAGCAATATGGACGCGTACGCACCCCTAAAGTCCTAAGACCTGTGTTCTCCTGCAGTTGGCCATGGAGCGATACGAGTCGGCTTTGGCTTTCTCTGCAGAGATGTTGGTGACGGGGCCGAGTTTCAGGGCTCCTTTCAGGGATTCTTCAAAGGGATCTCTAGGGGTTCCTTTAAAGGATCCTTTAAGGGATCTATAGGGGCTCCTTTACAAGGGACCCTTTTGGGGATTTTTTAGGGTCGAGGGTTGAAGTTTTTTGGGTTTAGGGCCTAGGGGTTGAGTCGGTTTAGGTCAGTCCAAAGGTTGTCGGGTGTTCAGGGTTTAACGCGTCTAGCGCTTCAAGGTTTTAGAGTTGTAGCTCTAAGGGTCCATGTACCCATATAGAGATACATGAGCCCCAAAGTACCTATATAGGGACTACATTACGGCCAATGTATATACTATATGAGTACATGGACCCTTAGGGTAGGCATCATGGGTTTGATCAGGGCTCGAGCGTAAGCCTGTAGGACAGGCCGACGGCCTGGTTGGTGAGCTCTGCCAAACGTGCCATCAGGCTGTGCAACCAAGAAAGCCGGTTGCCGGACGACTGAGTCCGATGCCACGAGCTGCCTGCCGGAGCCCGCAGCGAACACCGCAGAGGCTGCACCGGGCACCCCGACAGAGTGCGCGGTCCAGATCCCCGTCGACGAGCACTGGAGAGGATGCTGAGCCGTCCGTGGAATCGCGGCGGTGGCTGGACGGAGCGGAACTACGGCTTGACCTACTACGAAATTGTGGTGGCGGCAATGGCGGCATCATCCGGGCCTACAGGGGCCTCGTGGCCAATCGCGACGTCCTTGGTTACACTACGCCAGGCCCTTCATTAATTGGTTGGATCGTGGCATGAGGGATCCACATCACCCCCCAACCTAAACCATAAACCATAATCTAAAACCCTCATCCCTAAACCCTAAACTCGAAACCCTAATGGTGATGACCATCCTGGAGATCTTCGATGGGCAACATGGGATTCGGGGATCTATAGGGGCTCCTTTACACCATCCTTTAGGGGATCTTTAAAGGATCCTTTAAAGGATCCTTTAAAGGGATCTGTAGGGGTTCCTTTAAAGGATCCTTTAGGGGATTTCTAGGGGTTCCTTTAAAGGATCCAAAGGAATCTATAGGGGGTCCTTTAAGGGATCCTTTACCGGGTTCCGGGAAGAGTTGATTGAAACGGTCTTTAGACGTTTGAGGAATCACTTAAGGGAGTTTCAGCGACCTGTGGCGGGTTTAAGGCATAAAGGTTCAGCGTTTGGGCGTTGCGCTTCAATAGTGGTTTGTGTGGTCTCGGGGTTTTGGGTTTGGGGGTCTGGATTCGAGTTTGAAAGGGGTTCACCAATCAGGGGTCTACATGCCTAGCATCACCACCTTAGACCGCGATAACCTATGTTATATAAACCATGCTTGGTATTAACCATTATAAACCCTAAATACGGGGTTGATGATGACCCTACAAGAAGTAGGTTGGTAGGTCAAGTTAAGGGAGCATTTACAGGTTTGGGGAAGTGGGGGACCGAGACCTTCCAAACCTCGAACCAGAATTGACCTGGGAATACCAAACCCTATCCGTAACCCCAACACCCTATGCCCGAAAGCTCTGTCAGGGTTAAGGGTTTAATTACGGTTTAGGGTTGAAAAGGGCTCAGGTCTTCGATCTTCGACCCTAAAACTTGAACCCGGAATCTTGCATTCGCATCCCCCACTTTCTGAAACCCAGGTCTCGGGACTTCCCACTACAGAGAGGAAGGTCGCCGCAGAGAAGTGGGAAAGGCCGGGTGACGTGGCGCTGGTTTATGGCCTGTTTGCCACGTAGGTGATGATGATGGTCATGATGACGACGACGATGAGGATGGTGATCATGATACATGTATGCTGGTGATGACATTGAGGAGGATGACGACGATGATGACGATGCTGATTGTGGTGACGAGCATGGGGAAGATACGGATTTATTGGCGATGAGCATGCTCACATTGATGCTACGATGGAGATGTCGTTGACGGACCAGATGCGGATCATGCTGACAATGATCGTGGCGACAGTGATGATGATCATCACCACCATGATCATGACCATGACGATGCGCACATGGTGTTTATTTATCCAAAAGGAGGGATGATGTATGCATTCGTTCATCGATGTTGATTATCCGTTGTGATGCTTCGCCCGGCTTGAGCATCGGTGACTGAGACTTCTATGTTGTTGCATTCTAACGCAATGCTGTCCTAGCTCCCAAGCCTTATTGCTTATCCAACAACCCAGGACCCTAAACCCTATAAGCCCTAAACCCTAAACCCTAACCCTAAACCCTAAACCCTAAACCCCTAAACCCTAAACCCCTAAACCCTAAACCCTATAAACCCTAAACCCTAAGTGTCGAGAGTGTGGGATTGCGAGTTGATGTCAGAAGTTCGGCCCTCGGGCTTCAGAGTTCAGCGCCGTGCTAGTTGAGATCGCATCGAAGAGCAAAGCTATAAAGCCTGCACCCTGCTCATGACAGATTTTCTACAGCCTCCTTAGGAATTGTTCTTTAGTTCATATAAAACCCAAGAGATTTTTAAACACACTATTTTTATTATGGTTCTAAGGGGGGGGATAGTTTTTGAAATACAATGCTTAAAGTTCTTAACCCAGAGGGGCCGATAGCTCAGGATTGATTCTCCCGCTTCTGAGTAGCCATCACTCTCCGAAGCCTGCACATTGGCGGCAGCTTGAACTGTAAGGCGTTCATTCGGGACCGAATCTCGAACCCTAAGACCCTTGACCCTGAGCCTAGTGATCCCGACCAGCCGCTGATGAATGACAGAGTGTGCCCCGGCTGCCCGACAAATTGAAAGCCCAAGTCTTACCGCAAGTCCGACGCCTTGTGCTCGAAATCAAGACCTTGAAAACCCTAAACCCTAGAATCACAAAATGATGAAGCCCGAAACCCTGCACCCAAAGCCCTTACCCTAAGCCCCTAATCCCGAAGCCCAAAACCCAAATGCCCTTACCCTATGCCCCTAAACCCGAAGCCCCAAAACCCAAATGCCCTTACCCTAAGCCCCTAAACCCGAAGCCCCAAAACCAGAAGCCCTTACCCTCAGCCCCTAAACCCGAAACCCCAAACCCACAAGCCCTTGACTGAAGTGCCACAACACGACCGGTAACCCCCAGAAGGTGCCAAGGGCAGCTGAGGGAGGAGGCCGCTCCCTCCCCCTCCCCGGGCTTGCGGTGTACTATAGGGGCCTTCATAAGTAGAATAGGGTTCCTTTTAAAGGGCTCTTTGTTTAAAGGGCCCTATAAGGGATCTATAATAATAGGGTTCTATAGCGTAGGAGCCTTAATGAATAGAACAGGGTTTTGGGGCCATTATACACTAGTATAAAGAGGAACCCCCCAAAATAGTGTAGGTTATTGATAAGGCCTCTACATATAATGGGGTTTGACTACAGGGCTTTTACGATTTGTTTTATCTTATATTATGCAGATGCGTCCTGCTGTGTGCACAACCCAGGTGCAGACAGATGCAAGCCCTGAACCCTAAAAATCCTAAACCCTAAACTCTAAACCCTAAACCTAAACCCTAAGCTCGTGAAGCAGAGGGCTTTGCGGCAACTGGTATCGGAGGCGGCTTGCAGACCTTAACGGACGCAGTATCTTCAGCGGCGTTAATAATTACCTAGGATTCCCTTTCATAGGGATCCTTAAAGGGGTCTATAAGGCATCCATAATTGGGTTCAGGGTCTCGGGCAGGCTTAGCTTTGCGCAACAGCAAGCTTTGGCGAAGCATCGCATTCAGATGGTGCGAACACACGTGGTGGGCAAGTGATTGATCATCAATGTCCCCGGAGAGCCGGGGTGCAGCAATGCCCCTTGGCATCAATTGCACCCAGCCCCCGCAAACCTTAAATCGCTTTAACCAAGGCGAATCTTCCTGGCCGCACCCATCGGATCACCGGGCGGTGGCATTTGCCAATCTGGCGATGTGGTGATGGCGGCCTCCCCAATGGAACCCGCAGACAGTGCCCTGGTTGGAACTGGCCCTCAGGGCTACCAAAAGTGCGTTCCTTCTGTTTGCGAGATGGCGGACTCAGGGCATTGATGACCCGAGTCCAGCGCCCAGACCGCTGCAACTTTGCGTAAGTGGCTCCGCCAAGAGCCGCGCATCTCCAAGCCGGAAGCGAGCATCGTCTGCCCTACTCTCGTCCAGAGATCTCTTTTTCTTGCCTTTGGCTGGCCACCTGGGTCTGGCGAATGTTGACCTCCTGCGTAGCTTGTTATCCACTTGTCAGGGGTGCAGGGTTTAAGTTTCGGGCTGCTGGCCTTACAGTTTCCATCTTCAGAGGGAACATATCGTCTGACTTGACGGCCCCATCCCGCACACATTGCATTGCAGAGCCCATAGGACCAAACCCACGAAGAATTGAACCCGAAACCCCCCAAAATCCTGGAACTTTGGCCCTAAACCCTACCTTACTCCCGAAGAACCTACATCTTTAAGGACTTATAGAAAGAAATCATAAGGAACCCTAAAAAGGTAGGTTCTTCAGGGTTAAGGTGGGCCCTTAGACCCTACGCCCCTAGATCCGAAACCCTTCAACTTGGCCTGAACCCCCAGAGCCCGGCACCGTCAACACCCATTATCTTTGTCATAGTTGGGTAACATTTTACATTTTTATGGGCACTTAAACCCAATAAGGAAGTAGAACTTAAATTTCTAGTCCTATCCCAGCCATGAACTAGTTATGCCATAGAGCCGTTTTTCCCTAGTAGTAGAGTGGGCAACCTTTAACCTTTTTTGGGTAGTATAGTCTCTATATAATCCCTATAAAATCAAAAAGGTTAACCTTTAGTTCCCCATGATTCCCGACAAGCAGGTTCCGGTTGTGTATCACGGAATCCTCAAAAAGCAGCACCGAAGCTAAAGGGACTCTTCAAGGAATCCGAACTCAAACCCTAAACCTCAAGGAGCTATTGAAAGAACCCGAACCCCACAACTGATGCTTCAAAGCTTCTGCTCAGGCGGCTCTCCTTCGCCAGATCATGGAGGAGTGGTCCACCCTAAAGCCGGAATCTCATTTGGGGAAGCTCGGGGTTTCGGGCTTAGGCAAGAAATGCAGCCGGGATCTTATCATTTAGGGAAGTTTAGGGCTTTAATGGTTATCGTTATATATAGGTAATACATTAAGCCGGAATCTCATGAAGTTTAGGGTATACGGTTTACGGCAGAACTCGAGGCTAAGGACGGTTCAGGTGTTCGGGGTTTCGTATGCGTACGAGTAGTACCACTCGTCCTCGTCCACTGAGCAGTCGACGACAGAGCGCTGATGTTCGCTTGGTACTAATACCACCTTCCCATTTTGCGGATTTTAATGTTACATTTACCCAGAGGCCCCAAAGTAGTTCCTTTTGGGGGTTCATATATAGAATCCTATAAGGTAATCCCAAAAGGAACTACTTTGGGGCCTATGGGTACAGTCACGGCATGGTATGCCCGTTCCACACCCTATTCCGTTGGCCAAGGCCGCTGCATGAAGTCCCGTTAAAACCTTTTGTGTAGAAAAGATCTTCAAATACCCCATACCCACTTCCGTGTTCAAATTATAGAGCCCGTATGAAGTCGTATTAAAACCTTTTGTGTAGGAAAGGCCTATATCATAGAAGGCCCCGAATTGCAAACCCTAAAGACCCTCTACCCAGGCCTTTTGGAGCGGGAGCGGTCGAGAGCTTGGCATTCTCTTCGGCGCTTAATGCTTAGGGTTTTGGGGTCTACTTGGAGGTTTAGGGTTTAGGGATTTAGGGACTAGGGTTTTGGGTTAATTACAAGTAAAGTTATAAGTCCCCTAATGCGGGCTATAACTATATAGTTACCCTACTTATAACCCTTATAACGACCCATGATTCTCCAAGTAGGGGCTACCTGGGCCCCCAACTACCCTGCAAACCCTAAACCCTAAACCTTTCCTATTTGCAGACGGAAAAAGGGCCTTCAAAAAAACAAAAACCTTTTATCACGAAGCACCTTGTGAGGCCCTGGTAGCTTAAGGTTTACAGTCGAGGGTTTTAGGACTTACGTGGATTCACTGATTACAGTAGGCGTTAGCAGTATAGCACCGTGCTTTCTGTTCCTGCCTGCTTTCAAGGGAGTCTAGAAAAAGGCCCTTTTGTTGAGTGCTTTAGCTGTAGCATTTGCTGTTTCAATCAGGATTTTCGAGTTTTCGGAACTTGTAGTGTTTGAATTGTGAGGTTGCGCAATTTTCAGGGGTGTTATCATAGGGGCCGCAAGAAGCTTTGCGTCACGGGGCCTGAGGTTCATGTTGTGGTGTGGTGCAGGATTCTGTTTCAGAGTGCACACCTGAGGTTCAGGGTTCCGGTCCTTGGCGTCAGCGGTTCCAGGTCGCCCTAATATGATGCGGGTGTAGGTCTTGCGATGTGATTGGCCATCTCGTTGGCTGGGAGTCACCGTCTCCATCGTGCCAGCCAATGTTGGGATTTTGCCCTGGGGCCGCTGGAGGCACAAAACTTGAGGCCCGAACAACAAGATTGGAACCCCCTCCGTGTATCTCCTACCTGTGGATCCAAAAACCTACCGTTTTAAGGGTCAGACCCTCTAATTAAGGGGTCATAACCTACTATTTTGTAGGGTTTGGAAAGGGTAGGTGTGGATTTCGGTGCTCAAAGGCCATGGGCGCAGAACTGAGTTCAAGGTGTTGCCTCGGCCGCGAAAGGCCCGACCCACCCATGCCGCGTTGCGACTTTGTGTCCATGGAGTTTGGTCTACATGTGTCGACGGATGTGCAGACGGAGCAGGCTTTCTTTCTGGCGCTGGGTTTTTCGCAGGACGAGCGAGAGGCCAGCTCAATGTTACAAGCTGGTCTGCAGAAGGTGCATTTTGAGAAGGCCCCACCCGAGCCCCATGGTTATTCGATGACTCCGGCGGTCTTCCCCTTGATCGGCGCAGTTGTCGGAAGTGCGCGGCAACTACGGAGCAAGCTGATTAACAGCGGCATTGGTTTCTCGGCGCCACCACTTGAGCAAACTGTAGGATGCAGTCTGGGGCCTGCTTGTTTGGAAACGCGTTCCCCTCTTGGCGTGCGAGTGAGATTCCATGTGTTGGTCCAGACATCGACAACACAGCCATCGAGAAAATCATGGCTGACGCCTCGGGATACAAGTAGACTTGTATAACCGGCCTTAAAGCGCCAAACTACCTGTAAGCCCCAAACCCACGACCCTGGACTTCTTTCTCTAACTTCAAAGAGCCCAAATCTACAAGCACAACCTGGGCTCCAGACCAGGCCGCGCAGAACGGAGGAGGCAGTTTTGTCTCCAGGGCTGCTTGGGCTGGGGATCTCGCAAAGATTCACTGGAGTTTCAAGTTTAGGTGTTGTTTTTTTTCTTATTTCGGTGTTTAACAAACTTGGAGTTTAGCATCTATTCAGGGTTTTCGAGATCCAGGGTTTCAGGGTTTAGGATTTTCGGGTTTAGGGATGTATTGCTTTAGGTTCTTTCGTGTTCAGGATGGTTTAGTGTTTCAGTGTTTCAGGGCGTGGGGTGGTTCACATGCATCAGGCTTGGCTGGAATCCCGAGCATTTTAAATGCGAAGCCTTGCCGTACAGACCTGAGATTCTGCTGCGACAGGGTTTAGGGTTTACTTGAACCCTGCAGTTACAAAATTGCAATACCTAACCGTTTAGGGCTCCATAGTACGATTTCCTCGTATAAGTATATAAGTCTTAAAAAGGTAGGTTACTCGGGGTTAAGGTAGGGTTTGCCCCTGACTATTGGACCGCGAACGCTAACACAGAATCCATGTTTCAATTCTACGTAGCAGAGCCTTCATGACGTGGGTGTTAGGATCCTTTGGGTACAGAGTTGCCAGGCAAAGTCAACATGCTTGACGATTTTGCCAGCCTGGAGCTTATACTGGGTTCCGGAGTACTCCACGGTGCGATTTTGTTGGACCTGTTCCTTGAAGGAACCATCCTGACATGAACGTTTAGACTTTCTCCTTCCTGCCTGGTTACCGTTACCCTACAGTAAACCCCATAAAGTTGGAAACCGGATTAAGGCCAAATAGTGCTGGGATTCCCGATACATTACTCTTAGGGATCGAGGCTATTGGGTTTCCAACTTTTTGGCTTCTACTGTAGGCATGTACTACACTATTTAGGTAACTGGAGCTTTATGGTAGGTATACACTTCCAAAGCTGCGTCCTCAAGGGCCTTCTGCTTTGAGGGTTTAGGGATTGAGGGTTTGAGCTCATTGAGGGCTTGGGTTTTGAGGGTTTAGGGTTGCAGGGCTTCAGGGTTTTGAGCAGACATGGTCTAAGTCTGAAGGGATTGCGGTCCGGGGTCCAGGGTTTACGGCAATTGAGAGTCACGAACCCTTAAACCTCAGCTAGACTCTGTAAAAGCCTAGTCATCCCGAACCCCTACAAGCCCTATCCACTGCACCCTTCAAAAACATAAGCTCCGAAAGCCCTAGGCCAAAATAAGCTATAAGCCCGAGACAGCCTACACCCTAAGGCCTTCTTTTGGGGGGTTGGACGTGCCTAGAAGTGGGCCGTCTCTCGTGGCCGGCCTCATTGGGCTGCTGGACTTTGGGAAAAAGGAGCCTAAAAAAATAGAGCCTTACTTTGGGCGGTGCTATGTGGTATGAGCATGGCGGCTGGCCTGCAGGGGTCTTGCAATCAGGGCTCCAGTCCTGGCCTCTGGGCCTTCCGCCTGTGGCACAGGATACTGCAGGTGGTATAAAAGGAGCTTAAGCAAAAAGCTTACAAGCCCCATAAAGCCCAAACCCTGAAAAATAATTCAATCAAAAACCCTACAAAGCTCAAACCGTGCAAACCTATAAACCCCATAAAGCTTAAACCTTCAACAAAAAAGCTATAAACCCAATAAAGCCTGAACCTTCAAGTCTAAACCCTATAAAGACTCTACGCCCTCAACCCTAAAGAGGTACTAACTGAAAAGGATCCCGTGTCTACTGCTGCCGTTGGTGACCTACGGAGCCCAAAGCCATGAGGCAGTTCCATTCAGTCTCCATTGCCTGCAAGGCCGAAGCCCCGAAGCCTTGCCTTCATTACTTATTTAGTTACCTGTTTATGTAGGGTGTAGGGTCAGGGTTTTAGGGTTTAGGGCTTTAGGGTTTAGGGCCTTATAGTAGACCCCAAAAGTTGGAAACCTGATTGAGGAGAAGTAGTGCTGGGATTCCCTCTACCATACTCTTAAGGACTGATGCTATGGGGTTTCCAACTTTGGGGCTTATACTGTAGTGGTTCTTCGGCCCTAGCAGTCAAAAGCTCCTTATAATGATGTCCAATAACACCTTTAATCAAAGCTGGGCAACAGAGGGGTCTAAATAACTACCAATGTTATGCCTTGTGGCTGCTTGCTACAATACTCATAGTATGAAGGGGCCCAAAATCTGGCATTCTCAGTCTTGAGGCCCCTGCATTCCATTTCCGATCCCCAAAATCACCCTAAATCACCCTTGCTTCTCCGTGCTCAGGCATGGCAGTGGCGCCGGCTGCACGACCCCATCGTGCAGAAGAAGAGGTGTTCAGGTTGTAGGATGTAGGGCTTCTGACGGCTTTGAGGAAGAAGATGCAGAAGAAGATATGCTGGGCATGATGAAGATGAAAAAGAATATTGTGGTCGTGACGGTGATGGCGATGTGACACAGACGGTATGATGATGCTACCGATGACTGCAGGTCGAGTGAGTCAACCCTCAACCCTAAACCAAACCCGAAGCACCTTCAATCCTCCACCCGAATCCTTTCGGACCCGTTCAGATGGAAGACTTCCATGGGTGGTTGTCAAAATTATGGTCCCTTTTTGGGTCCCTATTACAATACGGCACCTACTAGTCGGGTACCCAAAAAGGGACCCTAATATTGACAACCACCCATATGGGCAGTCCTCCAAACTAGGGCCCCTTTTAGGTCCCCAAAATAGAAGGACCCTTAGAGGATCTAAAGAAACTAGGGCCCCTTTTAAGTCCCCAATATGGAAGGACCCTAAAGGATCTAAAGAACTACGCCGCCGGCAGCCACACCAAGGCCTACAACAAAGAAGCTGATGCCGGCATCCAAGTATGTGCCAAAGCCACCGAACACGCACTACCACATCGATTACACGGACCCGGCGATGATGAGTGTGGCGCCGCCGACCAGTATGGCAACGGCAGCGAAACCGGCACCTTTGGTTCCTCCGCTTGTAGACCTCGAAGAGGTCGAGGCAATCAGCAGCGACAGCGACCTGTAACTTTAGCCGCTCTTGAGCAGCAGCCGAAAGAGAGAGCTCGTGAAGTTCTCTTGCAGAGTGCCGCTGTCAGAGAAGTGCTGCCGGTAGGTTGCCCAGCGTGTGTTCAGCTAGGTAGTCCAGCTTGCGTGCAGGTAGGTTGCCCAGCTTGTGTTCCGGTAGGTAGTCGTAGGGTCCCTTTTAAGTCCCCAATATGGAAGGACCCTTAGAGGATCTAAAGCACTACCCAGAGGGAGGCAGGATGAAGTTCTGAGCGTGGAGGCGCCGGAGCAGTTATACAAGCTCGAATGAAGGGTTTAGGGGAATAGGGTGTAGGGGTTGAGGGTTTAGGGGTTTAGGGTTTAGGGGTTTAGGGGTTCAGGGGTTTAGGGGAATAGGGTGTAGGGGTTGAGGGTTTAGAGGTGTTTAGGGGTTTAGGGGTTTAGGGGTTCAGGGGTTTAGGGGACTAGGGTGTAGGGGTTGAGGGTTTAGAGGTGTTTAGGGGTTTAGGGGTTCAGGGTTTAGGGGTTCAGGGTTTAGGGGTTTAGGGTTTCAGGGTTTAAGGTTTTAGGGTTTAGGGTTGCCTACTTTTGTACAAAGGGCGATGGTCGAGAGATACTGGACCAATGGGCCCTTTAGTGACTAACCTGTAGCTGAGGGTCTCGCGGTGCTGCACAAACTCTTGAAGAACGCCTTCGGGGAAGCAAAGCAGCCAGTTTCGAGAGGGCCGCCGAGAGTTCAGGGATCAGGATTGACGATTTACTTGTGGTCTCCATTGTAGTTCCTTGTTTTGGCTAACCAAAATCTCTATTATAGGATCCTAACCATAAAACTGGTTAAGCAAAAAAGGAACTAGAATGGAGACTACAGGTAAACTCCAGGCCCAGCAAGCAGCCCAAACCTCTATTGCTAAGCCCTCAACATATCTTAACACTATCACTACCCCTAAGGGTCCATGTGCCCAAATAGTACGGGACGATCAAGGGGGATGGAGGTCCCAGTGATCAGTTTCTTCATACAAGGCACCACCGGCTTAAAATTGTTCAGCAAACTCCGAAATTCTGAAGATCAAGTGTAGGATCGCTTTTGCAAAGGACGCTCAGTGGGGACCTGTAGGGACCCTTATAACAAGAAGTGAGACGCCTTCAACAACAAAAAGCATCCTAAAGTAAGCATGACCTGGCCCCTCAGCCTCCAGACCCTGTAACCCTATATCCCTAAACCCTGAACCCTAAGACCCTAAACCCTATAACCCCAGACCCTTTAGACCCTGAGTTCTGATTCTAAACTACTGCCTTGGCTGCACCAATCGCACCGCGGGAAGGTGAAGGCAGCGCCTGCCCCGGCCTCAAAGCTTTAGTGGGTTCTTGTTAAGGAATATAATGTTAAGCTACCATAACTTAGGGTTTAGGGTTTATGGGGTATAGGGGTTTAGGGTTACTTAGGGTTTTGGTTTAGGGTTTAGGGCCTACCTATAGTCTCCATTGTAGTTCCTTTTTGTGGTTAAACAAAATCTCTATTATAGGATCCTAACCATAAAACTGGTTAACCAAAAAAGGAACTACAATAGAGACTACAGGTAATGTTAAGATACCATAAGTTAGGGTTCCTTTAGGGGCTCTATAAGGGTTGAGGGTTCAGTTCAGGGCTCAGGGTTCTTGTTAAAGAGTTCTGTGTAACTTACAGTGATCAAGAAACCATGTTGTCTACTAAAGATCCTTATTAGCGAACCCAAATTAGGGGAATATGCCTTGAAGCATAATATGACCTCTTACAATTCAAGGTATATTTAATAATTAAGGTGTATTGGGCTTTCTGGGTCTACGGCTCGTCAGATCAAATTACGGAGGTGTGTTTCGATGATCTTCTGTTCCTCAGAAACGTCGCTATTTAATATTATACTAGGGAAATCTGAACAGAGCACCACCGATAAACGGTACATTTATCGGTTAATTTACACCCAGACCCTAAAACCTAAGCCGAAACTTCTGAATAACAGGCCGGTTCAACGGTTCAGCTGAGTTTTCGGTGTAGGTGTCTCAGGGATCCCCAGGACCGACGTAGCCAGAGACAGGGGTTGTCGGGCTGTGCGTCGTGCTTTGGATGAAGGGGTCAGGTCTATTGCCAGGTTTGGCTTCATATGTCAGTAAGTGTGCTTTCGGGACCCTTTCTTCCCACGTTTGCGGGCCGCCTTTGGGAGTTGCTTAAACTCCGAGGCAGATGTTTGGGAGGGCTCATGATAACAAGGTTCCTATACTGCTCAGTAGGATCTATATAAATTCTCTTCTCTTGTGATACTGAGATGTATGTAGGTATCCATGCATGCACGCATGCATTTATGTGTAAATATATATATATATATATATATATATGCGCGCGCACATGTCATTAGGAGGGCATTCAGGTTTTGCGTTTCTATGGATTCGGCTCTCCTAGAATATAATTAAGGATCTCGCATGTCTTCAGGTGTGGGACGGCGTCATCGCTCCACCCTCGCCGCGTGCGCCCGGCGGATTCTGGGTGAAGTTTGCAAGACTTGGGTGGCTTTAGGTACCCTAATGGCTCTCTGTATGTTTCCTGCTGGCCCTCTGCATCCCCCTCATGCAACGGTAAAAGTACCCTAATGGCTCCATGTGCCCTTACAAACTTGGGCCTGAAAGGGGTCCATGTAGGTACTCTAGGGCCAATGCATAGACTATACGGGTACATGGAGCCTTCGCGGTGTAGTATCGCCCTAAACTCTGGACCCAAAATTGTCAGTGCGACACTGAAGGTTTGCGATTGCAATTTTGGGTTCAGGGATGCATGCGGAAGCCAGCAGCTCGGGTAGAGTTCTGGACGGGTTGTTGGCAGCTCAATCTCGCCCTTAATCTCACGTATGTCCCCCCGTAAAGCCGTTAAGTCCGGGCGCGCCGCCAGATGCATTCAACCCTGAACTATGAACTCTACACTCCGCACCCGATACTTCACCTGAACCTACGAATCCTGTACCGGAAGAAGCACCGGCCTGAAGGCGTCCGTTTTCAGAGATTGGGTCTAGAGTCCAGGGCCGTGTGGGATGGTTCGCACCCCCAGTCTTACACATGTGTTTTGATTTGTTTTTTCAGGATCTTGTTGTCTGATGTACTGACAATGAACAACCACTTCAACCTGAAAACCGAAGTCTTCACATGGAGGCTGTCTTGAAATCCTACAACCCTGAAGTTGTGCATTTCTTGGGGTTTATGTGGGTATGTCCATAGCAAGAAAACGTAAAGAACAACATTGAACATTGCGCAGGAGTTTTATCAGCGTTTTCTGATGGTCACACGTTGGAATATATGGAGCTTTACACTTCTAGTTCGAAGCCCTGTCTCAGAAGCCTGGACCAACCCCGAACAGCACCCCCAAACCTACAACCCATAAATTGTAACCCTGAACTCCAAAATCCTAAACCCCATAAATCGTAAACTCTAAACTCCAAAACTCTTAGACCGTAAGCCGTTGTTGAAGTCGTTTTTTGAACTCTGCCAGGCGACCGGGGCCGAGAGCTTGCAGCTCAGAGATCGGGCGTTGGATTGAGGGTCTACAAGGCTTAGGTTTTAGGGTTTAGGCCTAACCCCTAAACGGCCTACACTCTAGAATCAAAATCTAAACCCCTAATAATCCCGCATGCCCCCAGGTAAGGATCCCCGAACGTGCAGGCTTCGTAGGGTGCAGGCAGCCTTTGTGGGGATCGGGTGTTGGGCTGAGCTATAGTTTGAGAGTGCAGCCAGGGTTAAGGGCTAAGGGCCCCATACTAAACCCCCACTACCCCGTAAAATTACAGGGGCCCTATTCCATAATTCTTCCGACCCCTTTCCCGCCTTGAAAAACCCTGAACCCTAAACCCCCCAAGACCCCCGAAAGGATTTGGAAAGTCGAACCCCTAATTCGGGACCCTATACTACTAAGGGGTACTTTATAGGAACCCCCTTCAAGGGATCTGTTTGTGGATCCTCCCGGTGGTCTGGGCCTCATTCAAGGAGTAAGCGACTCTTTTGCCACGGCCAGGGTCCATAAGCCACCGGCCCGGGCGCGCGTCGGCTCCGGACCCTCAGGCGCCAAATTCTGTCGATGTAATGTAGGGGCCTTAATGATTAGAATAGGGCTCATTTAAACGGTTCCTTAAAGGCCTACGATAAAGGGTTCTATAAGGGTATATACTATGATGCTCAATAACTACCTATACTATTTTGGGGCTCCCCACTCTCTGCTTGTAGTATAGTAGGCCCCAAAACCCTGTTCTTACAATTCAGGCCCCTATAGTAAGGTTCTTCAAAGGGTGGCATATACCAGGGGTCTATGAGGATTTTAGCATTTAAGGGCACCATAAACGGTTGTATAATGTTTTTTTTCTTCACGTGTTCTTCAATGTCACAGGGATGTACAAAGGTTTTTCAATTTCTTCTCTGTCGAGACTCTGGGGGATTAAGGGTTTAGGGTGCTTAGCGCATAGAGAATTTTGGGCTGCAGTGGTTTGGGGTTTCCAGATTTCGGGCTTATAGGGTTCAGGGCGTGTTTAGGGTGTATGTCTAACTGAGAATACTTGAGACTTACAGCTGACAGGACCACTGCTGGGGGGCTGGGGGGGGCCATGTCGGGATGTGTGGCCGGCCCTGATCGTGACTACAAGAAGTTGCGTGTACCCTGTACCACGGCGTGTGCACAAGGAACTAGATGCAGCCCCGGAGATGCAAGAGCCGTAGCGTCTGTCGCACTTGCAACTTGGATAAGCAGACGTCACCAAGTCTGGTTCGGGCCTGTCAGTGTCAGTACTAGTCGACCTGCTGATTCAACCGCAAACCCCCAAACCCCAAACTAAACCCATACCGAATGATTCAGTGAATCGTTTTCCAGCCTGAGGCCGTACCAGTTGGGTTTGGACCCTTAGCGAGTTTGTTCAATCCGAGCCGAAGTGTTCGAGTCTGGGCGTTGTGCAAAGTTTGGGATTAACCTCATCATGGGTCGGATGAACAAGTGCAGGTTCGAGTGGTAGAGTTGAATCAAGTGACATTGAGTGTTCTCGATAATCGAGGAGGGTTTAGTTTGAGGTTTGGGATCCCCAAACCCTAAACCCTTAACCTTAAACCCTATAAACACCAAACCATCTCTGACGCAGGCGGGCTCGGTGGCGGGCTCGGCAACAATGCGGACCTTCCCGGCTGGGCCCAGGGACGAGTGCAGGATCCATCTGGGGTCGATGTACCTGGACCCTAAGGAACCTAGCCTGGAAAACGGTAGTTAGGCGAAAATGTAGTATAGTATAGAGATGGAACGGTTAGGTAGTCATGCTATTCTCTTTATATGTTCGAGATGGCTGTAGTAAGCTCACCCTATTCTACCGTGCTGCGGCATGCTCGCTGAAACTGTCGAGGTTGCTTATAATGGAAGCTGGCTATATGCGACGAAAGGCACAAGCCATTGGCCGTGTTGTCATGGCTACGATAGTAAATATCGCATGTCATTCCAAGTTTTCATAACTGATGTTATTATCATCAGTATAATGTAGTTACGATTATTCTTACGGGTATTGCTAGTTTCATAATTCCTGTTGTGGTTTTAAACTGTCATTACCGTCATCGTTTGTTTTATCCTTGATGGGAAAGCATGTAACTGGGGGATCGAACTCCGCTGATTCCTTCCCACAGTTGGTGCTCGCAAAATACACTTCGTTGCGGCCACCGATTGTGCTCGTCTAAGGTTCCGGGTTTCGGCTTGCGTTTGAGGTCAGCTTTGCCATTGTTGCCGGTAGTTGCCAGGACACTCGGGGCATTTCATGCCGTATCCATGCATGGTATTACCCTGAGAACTACCCAGTTGTCTGGTGCCACGAGTAGGCAGCGCTGGTAAGTCGCGGTTTGCCTTGCATAACCGCTTGAACCGCAAGCGTTTTGTGTTTAGGGTCAGAAACCCTAAAACCCTAAACCCTAAAACCCTAAGCGCCCAAACCCGGCGACCAGGAGGCACCGGCACGTCGCGAAATCCCCAGACGCTCGCCCGGGAGGCGCTTTTCCGCCCAAATGAACCCCAGAAGGAACCTTAGCCTTACAAAGATGCCTTAAAGGAACCCTTACAGGCGACCCTCAGGCGCATAGATGGGTCTAGTGTACATTTGCATACCATGGCTATACTAAGAAACCCCAGAGAATACGAGTCTTAATTACTGTATAAGGTCCCGCCCCCTCATACTGTGTCTAGAGACCAGAGGTTCAAGTTAAAAGAAGGTTTAGGGATCAGGCACTTGAACCCTATAAGTCATGTTGTCTCGGGCTATGGAAGTTGGGTGGGATGCATGCGGACCAGGTTGTCTCAGGCTTTGGAAATGAGTTTTGGGTGTGATTATGTGCTGACCGCAGCATAAGGCGCCAAGTGGAAGCCCAAACATTTCGTGCAAAGCAACCTAAGTGTAGATAGGGTTCAGGATTCAGGTTTTGAGGTTTCGGGTTTAGGGCTCAGGGTTTCGGTTTAAGCTCTGGACTGGGTACTAAGACCTGGGTCTGTTTATGCACGTGATGTTTCCTTTCTATGCGGTTCATATCATCCAGCACGGAGTTCTCAGTGCTCGGCTGCATTTGCAGTTATTGGCATTGGGCAGACATGTGGCAAGTGAAATAGCACAACCCTTAGGCCCGAAACCATAAAATCTCTGATGTCTTTGTCCTCAATTGAATTCGGGCCTCTAGGCTGTACACTACTCCCTGAACCCTCAACCCCAGCCTTGAGCCTTCACTGTACATCTTCAACAAGTAATTAAGCGCCAGGCAAGATGAGCGATCGGCCACGTTCTCAGCAAAACTGATGCACCAGATCCCATATAATATGAAGGAGAGGTCTCGAAGAATGTTGTTGTCGATGTTTTGCCTGCAGGGTTAGGCGGGCTGATTGTGTGGTTTGGCATGTAGTCCTAAACTGTATGGCAATGCTATGCAGCCACGACGGACTTCGTAACCTTCTTCTATCTACGCCAACTTAAGACAACAGCGGACCTCTACTTAAGTCCGATACCTTGCTGTAATAGGAACCGTGCAACAGGTTGGCATCGTGTTTTAGAAGCTCACCGCCTCCCCCCGCCCCCCTTTGAACTGGTATCTTGATATGTTTTTGTCTGTATGTCATTGCCTAACCAGGCCTAGACGGCTTCAACTGTCGAAACCCTACAGGTCCAAGTGCCCAAAAAGGCAGGCGAAACTCTGAATGAGTTTTGCCACCTAGGCTTGGAGGTTCATGGCTAGTTATAAGTATGGCTATGGGTGGGGTACAGGCAACTATACTTGCAAGCCATGTTCTTGGACTTCTTACCCCTAAACCCTAAACCCTAAACCCTAAACCCTAAACCCTATAAACCCTAAACCCTAAACCCTAAACCCTAACTCTCCAACCCATCCGCGCCCTGAAGGCCGGCCCCGGTTCCCGAAGGAACGCCGGGGCACTCCACTCAGCGCAGACTAGAGTTGCTGAGTTGAGGGGTTTAGGGTGTCATACGGTTGATGATATAAATCCTGCATTACCTTAAGGACCCAAAACTATGGGAATTATGGTACATTCCTTATTATGGGTAATGCAGGATTTATATCATCAACCGTAGGGGTTCGGAAGTTTAGGATCCACGATGGGGGAGGCTTAGAGTTCGGGGCTTCATTGGGAGGGGAGTTTAGGATTCATAGTATCGGGATTAAGGCTGAGGCTGTCGGGCTCGGGGGTTTATTTTTTGGCCCAAGGCTTTCAGGAACCTCCTAAAGAGAGCCCGGTGCTTCCAAGTAAGGACCCTGGGTTCGTGCTTGGGCTTTTTCAGGGTTTAGGGTTTAGAGGATGCCGGGGTTTAGGGGCTTGAGTTCCAAGAGCTGGGAATTTGAGGGGGTTTGGGTTTACCCCCTAAGCCCTAAGGCAGGTGGAGACTCTGTGTTTAGAGTTCAGAAATTGACGTCGGGAGTTCGGACTTGTATGGTTTTGTAGTAAGTATAGATCCCTTATCCTTTGAAGGAACCCCGCTGAACCCCCAAACCTACAGCCCCAAAGCCCAGAACCCTCATAGAACCCTTCCAGAACCCTAAACCTTAAACCCTAAACGCCCAGACCCTAAACGACAAAGATGTGCAGTATTTGGATCTTGCACATCCCAGAGCTGGGCGGTTGGCCGCTCGGATGAGGCCGCCAAATCTCAGGGATATCAAGAACAAGAGCTTATGAGGGCCAGGGGAGGCAGCTCACTCTCAGCGTCGGAGATTTTTCGGGTATGAGGGGCGCCGATGTCCCTTTCTACTTCGGCGAAATTCATGCAAGCATCTGAGTCTCATTCTGCTTTCTGGGCATTGAAATTACTCGGTGCTGTGACTCCGGCAGCAAGCGGCTCAGCGAAGGCCACAAGGGCACGTGCAAGGTATTCCGTTTTGGTCGAGCGGTCACCTAGAATGCTCAGACAGGGTTCAGACTGTGCATCGTATAATGTGGGCGAACTCTCTGCAATCGTTGAGTGAAGGATCTAAGCCTTTCCCTTGTACCCTAAACCCTAGATTCGACTAAACTCTCATCACCGAAAAAGGCCCTAAAGCGCCGAAAGGATCCCTTAAAGGCTTTGCATCTCTCACAGCAGCGGATACTACATCCGAGGCATGGGAGGTCCGGAAGCCAAATTCTACCCACTACCAGCCCCAATGGCCCTTTCAGTAACCTTGATGACTTGGCAGCTGAAGCCATATGCTTTGACCTAGTAGTAGAGTAGATAACCTTTAACCTTTTTTGAGTAGTACAGTCCCTATATCATCCATCTATAACCAAAAAGGTTAACAATTAGTTCCCCATGATACTCGACAAGTAGGCTGAAGACGTCATCCGACAAAGCAAGAAGGTGAAGGCTAAGGACTGGAGAACCCTGAAAAACTCAGGCAAAAGCCCTAAACCCTAAACTCCTAAACCCAAACCCTAAGCCCTGACGTTAGTCGAGATTTGCACAACCTTGTTGCCGGCGTGGAAGCACGCTGAGCATGCTTTGCTGAACGAACCTCCGCGCAGAGCCACTAAACCTGCAGTATTTTCCATCTTCGCCGACTCTAGTGTGTCAAGCTACGGAGGCAAATCGTAGCCACAGAAAGCTGTTTGCCTCTTCACCGCCTTGACCCCCCATTCAAACCATATGGCGGGACCCTTAGTGCATCTTCATGCTATAGATAGTCATATTAATTGTATACATACATACATACATACATACATACACTTGTTGAGTAAGTGAAAACCGATGTATGTCTTTTGGTCTACACAAGGGGTTTATGGACCCACCACCTTCCAAAGTAAGCTTACAGTCTTAAATCCTAAACGTAGAAAAACTTCAGCCCAGGTACCTCCTGCAGGCCCGTCCGGCGGTGGTGGCGCCGGAGGCGGTGGTAGCGGATCCCGGAACTACAAAAAGCCGCAGCCTCAAGAACAGAACATGCTTCTGGAGCTCAAGACTGCAGGAGAAGGACGGACGAACTTGAATTCTCGGGTATTATGTGGTTTACCTGTCGATCCAATGAACGATAAAAGGCGTGGGTCTGTGCCACCACCCCGTGTTTCGGATCATGTTAGCATAGACATAGACCCTGTGTCCTATCATAAAACCTCAGGCTTACCAGCATATTCTGAAGTACCCGACGAACAGCCATTCAAGCTTGATGTGAACTGCTATGCTATCTTATCATACCCTAGGATGCCCAGTAGTACCCTTATTCACTTTTTGTAGTCCTAGGTTCCCCATAAAGTTACTAGGCATCCTAGCACCAGAGTTCCAGAAAAAAACTGACTGTGATTGGAGACACTAGCTACCAGCAGTTACTCGGATGATTCCTCGAGGGAGCCCCGAATCTGATACTTTCACGCTTGATAGGTAGGGTTTAGAGTTTAGGGTTTAGGGTAGGGTTTGGTGATTTGGTTCAGGTTGCAGGGTATTCGAGTTTTGGGGCGGCCTAGAGCTTTTGGGTTGAATAGACCCCCCTCATGCTAGCTCGTCATCGGTCCTTCTCCTTGCCGAAACCTTGCCGAAACCCACAACGCATTCCGGCATATGGGGTCTGCTTAGAGCCGGCATGTCAGTTCCTTAAGGTAATGGGTTTAATAGGGGTTGGGGTTTAGGGTTTAGGGCTCAGAACCCTAGACCCTTGGCGTTACGGTGAAAAGGCGACGAAGCATGACCCCCTGAGGGTCCATGCGCCCAAGTCGCATATACTTTGGTCTTAAAGGAGTCTCTATATAGGTACATTGGGCCCCAAGTATATACGTCTATTTGGGCACATGGACCGTTAGGGGACCCCTAAACCTTACAGAAACCTTCTTAAGGAACCCTGATGGTACCTTAAAGGACCCCTCAAAGGAACCCATCTGCAAGACACAAAGGCCTTGGATGGACAACGTCCCGGCCACCAAAGGCGTCCGCGAAGAGGGCCGCGGCAAGGCAATCCACGGTACTGCAGGTGTCTAGATAATTACCCATACTACTTTGTGGGGATTCCACAGTATAGCTTTAATAAATTACCTTGCATCTACTAGTACTACTAGCTTGGAGTTTCTCTCCTAAGTGTATCATGTACCTATACTATTTTTTTTTTGGGGGGGGGTCCGGATCATATGTGAATGATATAACATGCTGTCTATCCTAGTTGTGTTAAGGCCGCTATATCAGGTTGACTGTATGCGTCGGACCTCAACCCGGGATCTATGGGAATATCCTTTCAATGCATCTATCCTCTCCAGTATGGGTCTTAGAGTTCCGGGTTTAACGTAGGTCTTGGGGTTAAAAGCTATGGGATGTCGGGTTTAGGGCTTGGGGGTTCAGACTTCGAGGCTTTGGATTTCAAGTTTGGAAGCGCAGGTCTCAGTGGCAGTGTTCGTTTCGTCGGCTGCAGTGTTGGGGTCTTCTCTTCGGAGGTTCGCGCAAAGTGAAGGAGTCCATGCTGTGCGGAGTTTTTGGTTTTAATGGCCATTCTGGACACCCCAAACCTGCTACACCTTAAAGCAAGAAACACCAGGGTTTAGGGTTAAGGGGAAACCTTGAGCCCTGCAACCTCTATCAGCTCCTCAACCCCCAAGCTCTAAAGCAACCAAATGCCAAATGCCACCCCAAACCTTGCACCCTATTAAAACTACAAAGCTTTCTCAACCCTAATGAACAAGCACCAAAGACTTCCAAGCCCCTACACACCCCTAAACTCCTAAACTTCCCTAAGCCCCTGAAGAAGAAACGAAGCCCTCAAACCGACAGCAAAAAACCCTAAACCCTAAATCCTAAACCCTCCATAGTGCCAAAATATGCAGGGCGCCGAAGCCGGATCGTTCCTCGAGCACATCTACGGATCCGGTGGGAATGGGCCCGACGTGCAGGGCTCAGTTTGTGTTAGTTTTGGGCTGAGGCTTAAGGGTTAGGTCCCCTGTGTGTCCTAGCAGACATCAACCAAGTTAGCAAGATCTCAGGAAAAGCACATGACCAGAGACGCGCGCGCGTATGGGGGTTAGGGCTTGCGGCTTGGGTGTTTAGGGTTCCGGGTTTGAGGGGTCGCACAACTATTCGCACAAGTTGGGAAAATCTCCGCTATGATCATCACAGCCAACAACCCTGCTCTAGAAGCTGGGAACTCCGAGTTCAAGTGGCTCCCAACTCCTCCACCGGTTGAGGGTTTAAGGTTTAGGGGTTTAGGGCTGCCCTGACCCCACACGTAACTCATTCTGTAGAACCGATGAAAGCGCGCCGCAGCGCCCCTCCAGAACCGAAAGAACTCTGACAAGGAGCCCTACAACACCCAGTTATAGAACCCGTTACGGGAACCCTGTTTTAAGAACAAACGGAACCCTTAAGAAGTGAGGCTCTGCCGCCCAGCCAAGATACAGGCTTATAGAAGCCGTAAGAGCCTAAACCCGAAAACCTTGAAAGGAACCATAAACCCGTAGAACCCAAGAGGAACTCTAAACGCCTGAACCCTAAAACCGCAAACCCTAAACCCTAAACCCCCTTTGGGGAAGCCTGCGGCCCAGGCAGACCTGATACAGAACATCGAGAGGGACTGCGTGGACAAATGCCCATCTGTGACGCCCTGGGCCTAGAACAGCGAAACTTCTAGTTAGAATTCGGAGTTTGTTTAAATTGGCTTTGGTTTCCGGTGCAGGGTTCTATGTTGGTGTCAGGGTTTTACTACGGTTGATGATATAAATCCTGCATGACCCATAATAAGGAATATACCATAATTCCCATATATTCCTTATTATGGGTGATGCAGGATTTCTATCATCAACCGTACCGTGTTCTTCTAGAAGGGCTCCAACTTGCAACATTTTGCCGACTTCGCATGCCGACCCGAGTTTTTGTACCCAACTAGTACGGACCTTGGCCCTACCCTGAGGGCCCAAAGTAGTTCCTTTTTGGGGTTCATATATAGAATCCTAATAGGTACTCTTAAAAAGGAACTACTTTGGGGCCTATGGGTAGTGTACTTCGATAGAGGCTGCCTTCAGGCCAAAGTGTCCGCTGCATGGTTATATGCGTACATGGACGTTTTGGGTAATCAAAGGTAGCATTAGGGAGAGCCCTCCTTAATTCTAACTATGGCTCTCTGAAAAGGGACCTTATTGCGATTGTCTATATCTCCAAGGGTCCCACTAATCCGAACTCCAAGGTCAGTATGGACCCTTAAACTTAAACCCTAAACCCTAAAGAACCTTTATGGAACCCTTATGGTACCCTTCAACCCTAAACCCTATAGAGCCCGTATAGACCCTTCTAGTACCCCAAAACACTGGACTCGACAGAGCCCTTATAGATTCTTTATGGTACCCTTAAAGTAACCCTTTAAGAAACCTAGGGGCCCTCAGAGTAGCAGCCAGGGCCAGTATTTTTTTCAGGTGGGAGTCCATCGCGGGCCTGGAGCAAGCGAAGTCCTTGTTGGAAGAGGCCCAGGGTTAAGGATGTAGGCTTCGATACCTTGATGTAGAACTAAGCTTGAGCAGTTACCGATATAATTCCATGGTTTTCTTTTGTTTCAGTATCCTCCATGTAAAGGTATATGTACATACCTACATATGTATATGCATGTTTAGGTATATGTATACTCCTACACCCTATTCTCAGAAATAATGCCACTGTATTGACATGTTAAAGGCTTGCGGGTGTTAGGATTTGGTGCTCGAGGGGGTGCTGCAGCGTTAAATAGCCGGCCCTATACCCACAAAACCGGAAACTTAGAGTCCTTATATAAACCACATGATGTTTGAGGGTTTTTCATGGCTCTAGGATTCAGGTTTTCAGGGTTCGGGCCCCAGAGTGCTCTTTAGTATGAGAACAGAAATTACAGGAAAGTCGGAAGACACATTTACGACCTTGATGTGGATGCTGACTGCCTTCTCGGTTTTTGTTTAAAGTTTAGGGGTTTAGGGTTTGGGGTTTTTGAACCCTTAACCCTAAACCGGCTTTGGACGTTTGGCTTACAGTTTACAAGGAAAACGTTTATGGAGGCTTTCGGACACATCTCGCATCGGATCTGGTTTCCGGGTTGGGGGGAGGGGGAGTTAGCCATATTCTTAAACCCTTGACGCTACACCCTACCTGAACACCAAAGAACCTTCCTTGTTGTTAGGGTTCCTGATTATGATTTTCCTATGATTTCGTGATATAAGCCCTTAAAACGGTAGGTTTTGCAGGGATCCAGGTAAACTTCGAAACACCTTCCCGAGCCAGAGAAAGCACTCACGGTGAGGCGGTGGTGCTTCCTCTGGTGATGCCGGAGTATTTCCAGGCCTGCTGTCCACCCTAAGCCGCAAGCAGGAAACACTAAACCTAGATCGCCAAAACCCAGGCCCACATTTGACATGACAGTTTCAGAACACAGATGACTCTTATACATACTCCTGCATGAATGATTAATGGACCAACGCTTTTTCCCCGGCCCAAAAACAAACTGATTCGGAGTTCTTGTTGCTCAATATGTACCACACAGGGCTACTTCATGAATAGGCGATCATCTGGACACCTCGGATGCATGGTCTGTCTTCGTATGAGCCATGTCTTGGGTAGGTTGTACCGAAAACTAACCAAACTGGAGCTATTTTCACGAAGCCAGTGACTCCATCTTGGCCTCCTATCAACCTTTCGATGACGCCATTTGGAAGATCTTGGAAAACCTTAGAACTACCTGGACTGGATAAGGTATGCAGGAACCTTGGCGCTTGCGCGAAACCCCGGAACTTCAGGCTCACAGGCAAACCCTCTGAACACAAATCTACGCAGATCCAGCATTGCACGAGTAGTGTTTCGGGAATGGCTCGGTGGTAGTTCGGGATAGCTGGTGTTTCTTCTCATTGTCTCATCGTACATAGAAGCAGCTGTTCATAGATGCATTTTCGGGGTCGGTTCAGAGCAAAAACATGATTGTCTAGCTTGTTGGCTAAGGTCCTATCTTCACAAAGTAAGGTAACCAGAAACGAGGAACTAGGTCTGGGTCTTGACGAGCCACGAGCACAAACACAACAGTCTGTATTAGGCAAGTTACTGCAACCCCGAGCCTTAGACCCGAAAAGCCTAAAACCCTAAACCCCTGCACCCGAATTTTTTAATGTAGACCTTGGATGAATAGCCCGCCTCCGTGAATCAGGTTCATAAACTTGTTCGTAATATCTCAACAGCAATGAAGGCCCATAAGAGCTTGAGGGTTCAGGGTTTCCGGTTGAAACTTAAGGTTCCTAACAAAAGGGGTCTTGAAGAGCAGGGGTCTACATCATACAGCCAAAAGCCTTAAAGCAGAAGCTGGGAAGTGGGCAAGCGCCGGGTTCCTTTTGGGGTTCCTCCCCTTTCGGGTTCCTTTAAAATGGCCATGTGGTGCCAGGGCATCCGCAGGCCGTGGAAGGGCGCGGGTTCCTCAGTCCGGGTGGAGAGGACCCTCCAAGGGCCCTTTCATAGCGCCCTTATGGCCCTTAATAGTTTCCCAGGGTAAAAGGAGGGAAGGTATATACCCTTGATATAGCTATTATGTACCCATTATATAGACCATTATAGGGAAGGGGTCCCCATTAAGGGTCCCTCCTTGTCCCCTTTCATAGTTAGGATTTTGCTTGATCTGGGGGGGCTCGGGACTCTGGAAATCTGCCGCCCAAACCCAGCTTGCTGAGGGGCTTCAGGGTGCAGGATCCGTAGGGCTTCAGGGTGCGGATTCAACTAAGCCCTAAGGGTCCATGTACCCAAATACTATATACATTGGATTTAAAGTACTCCCTATATGGCTACATTGGGCCCAAAGTATATACTAGTTGGGTACATGGACCCTTAGGGTAAGATGTAGGATGCAGAGTTTGGACCGTCGACCCTAAATCGCGAAACCCTAAACCTTGAATATAACCCTAAACTCCTAAACCATAAACCCCTAAACCCCCAGACCGTAAACCCTTAAATCCCTAGATCCCTAACCTGCACCCCTAAACCTAGACCCCTAAACCCCTAAACCTGCCAGCAATTGCACATACAAGAGGGTGGCATTGGGCACAAGACCAGGAGACAGTATTGTAGTGTCAAGATGCAGCCATAGCATGGAAGGTGTCTATAGGAAATGGCATCGTATCTTGATACAAGAAAAAAGTGAAAAGACACCACCACAGGCCACAGATTACAACTGTAAATCTTGAAACATGTTTCATTAAGATAGAAGTAAACAAGAAGATGAATCCTGCATTTTAATTTGGTACAGCTATTGATTCAGCATCTTGGCATACCAAATATCATCCGGTTATTATATATAAAGGGGTGAGTCTCATCTTGGCAAAACTCATGAGTGCTGACATGGCGGCGCTGTCCGAATCTGAATATGAATTCTCCGCTTCGTCCAGTGCTGAGACTGTTTTGACCCCGGGCTCGTCATCTCCAGAAGGTGGAGACACAGAGCGCTTCATCAAGACACAAGGTGGAGATCCGAGAACTGACGTGAGAGCTCTCGTCCTCCATGTCTATCGGCTGGGCCCAGAGTCCGACTCCAACTTCTTCCTGGACCTGGCTGGTGCCTACCACCTGGCTCTGGAGTTCGACTCCGTGGAGTTCAGCTTCGGGGAGAGTGGCGTGTCAACCAGGCGACCTGCGAGTGACAGACGTCATCGCTGGTCGCACTCAGAGACAGTTGGGTATACTCTTCCTCAGCACTTCACGGACTGCTTGACGTCAAGACCTAGCGTATTAAGGGTTCCGTTTTTGTGTCTGTGAGTTCAGGGTGTGGCGAGCTCGGTGAGGTCTGGGTCGGACTTATTGTTTGCAAGACACCTGCTGTGCCTTTGTGGTGGCAGCTTTGCGTCTAAGCCTTGAAGAATTCAACAGCTGAATGGTGGCCTGTTCGTACTGTCGAGGTGTTGATGTTTGGCCCACCCGGAACCGGGAAGACTCTCCTGGCCAAGGCAGGTTTGTGGATTTAGCATTTAAAGAGAAATGTTGGGGTTTGAACAATTAGGACTGTTCTCTCCGCATCATTACCGAAACTCACGTCTGAATCTCAAACCCTCGGTATGTGATACTGATGTTTTGGGCTTTGGGGCTTGAGGACTTGAGGACGTTACTAGGAGTTTCATGGGTAGCTGTAAGTAGGGCTATAAGTAGGCAACTATACTTATATCCCATGTTAGGGGCCTTCTAACCCCACTTATAATATGATTACACTAATTAAACCTTAATCCCTAAACCCTAAACGCTCATAACTCCACTTAACAACTACCCATGAACCTCGAAGTAGCACGTTTGCCATCGTTGGAGCTTCTTGGCTGCTCTGCACTGCACCCACCTGCAGAACTGGTTTCTGTGGCTTGAGGCTTGCCTGGACCCCAAAAGTATGTAGAATAAGAGGTCTTTGCAGGCTTTGGGCTACTATTTCACCTACATTTATTTGTCTTACGTACGGGCAAAACATCGCAAGTTCCAGACTTCAGCACCCTCGTTGCGAAAACCAGTGCTTTGAGGTTGAGGGTGTAGAGCCTTATCTTGAACTATATAGCCTCAAGGAGGTCTTCGCAGGGTCCCGTCAGAAACCTTGATCTTGTAGATTGTTTCAGGAGCTTGCCAAGCACCATAAGACATCCTGAACCTTATTTGTGTTTTAGGGTTTCGTCTTGATGGTCTAAGGTTGTCACGAGAATCTTACAGTGCTTTTTGGACAGGGAGCCCTTGAAACCCACCCTAAAATAGAAACCGCAAGAGTCCTGGGACCAATCAATCAATCAGGAGCCGGAAAGCTTTTCGCAGTCGCAGATCTCACAGCCGCTAGAAGGACCTGAGACTCTGAATCCCACACCCTAAATGCTCATGCCCTAAACCATGCACCAGCACTACTACACCCCAGTACTAAACATTTTATCTGATGATGACCCTCCTCCCTAAGCCAGCCTAACACTCTTAAGAGCCCTGGCAGCCTCCCCATGCTTCGCCTGGGTACCTTTAGACCCTAGAACCACCAGGCTGTGGCAACGCAATGCTCCACATCCTTCTTCAACGTTTCTGCATCGACCATGGCCCGGTGGCTCAGGTTTTGGGTGTAGGGGGTTTAGGTTTTGATATCTTCTGAACTAGGTTTAGGCTTGATGAGTAGTTTAAGAAGCCTCTTTTAGGTTTCCACAGCGTTTTGGAGGCTTGGTGTTTAAACCTTCTTCCGTGCTCCGGGCTCTTTGTATCATAGGGTAGATAAGTCCCACCTTAACTTCGGAACCGAAGCTTGAACAACCGATCTCCAAGCCGAAACCCGAGACAATATGTAAAGTTCAAAGCAGGGTTTGGGAAGGGCTTATAGAGGTCAGTTCAGGGGTTTACTATAGGGGCCTAAACTTACCTATACTATTTTTGGGGTTCCTTTTTGTATTCATAGTATACTGGGCCCCAAAACCCTATTCCAATATTGAGGCCCCGATGTTAGGGGTTTAAGGTCTAGGCTTTTAACCCCGAACCCTTAGCCACTCATCCTACCGGCCATGTTGTGTTCAACGTTCGGGGGGGCTTCCATGTCAAAGCTATGGGACCCTCCAACTCCTAGTTCAAGCATGCTCCAAGGTCCTCAGCACGGAGCCCTCCGCCCTTCAGACAAGGCGCTCAAAGAAGGCCGCGTTCCTGAGCCGCAGGAGGGCGACAGGAAGGTTCTCATCGATCTCTACCCCTTCGCACAGCCAGAGAGTCTCTACACTGGGATACCTGCCAGGGCCGGTGTAAGCGGTTGCCAGGCAGTGCTGATTCTGACCACGACGGCACACCCGGCATCGTGTGTCGCAGGGCGCTCCTTCAATGACCCGATCCACGTCCTTCAGGATCGGGAGAGCATTCGATGGCACATGGGCAGGCGGGGCGAGGCATTGTGAGGACCTTGCGTTGCAAGAGTTTGCGTGCCTGCGTAGGCATTGAGCTTGACAGGAGTACCCGTATACCTTTGTTCTAGACTACCTGGTAGATGAATCCTTTGCCTGCACGCCCCTTCTGGTGGACTTCCGGTGCAACCGCTATAGAAGTCGTGTTGACCCCTTGAAGCACCATTGAGGAATCCTATAAAAAGCAAGCCCTTCGCTCCATCCGCAGAGCCTTCCCCTGTGCTACTTGGAGGTTCATGGGTAGTTTCAGTTTAAGTAGGGCTAGAAGTAGGGCAACTATACATATAACCCATATTAGGGACCTTATAACTCTGCTTGTAGTTACCCATGGACCTCCAAGTAGACCCTTCTAAACCGCACAGAACCCTGGAACTCTGAAGCCTAGACTTGAAGGCCACAGAGCAAAACCCTCAAACCCCAAACCCCGGAACCTCTAAAGCCTGTGAACCTGAAGCCCCAACATCTCTTTAACTACAAGTTGACCCAATAATTCTCAAGCCCAAAACCTTTACACTTAAAGGAGCATGAGAGGACCCTTACAATAGCCAACGAACGGAAATCACAAGGCCCTTCAACCCCAAAGAGCTCCCCCCCAACCCTAAACCCTAAACCCCCCTTAAAGGAATCCTTAAAGGAGCCTTTCCCTAAACCCTGAACCCTAAACCCCAACCCCTAAACCAACCCAACAAGAGCTCCCCCCCCTGCCTTCCGAGGCTTCGAAATTCCGTGGCGACTCCGAGAAACTCGTAAGGCTCCTCTTCGAGTCCGGGTGCCCGGGGGGTCCTTTTGTTTTAGGGGTATAGGGTTTATAGAGTTTAGGGTTTTGGGGTTTAGGGTGTGCTTTGTTTCAGGTTGTGGCTGGGGTTTAGGGTTTGGGGTTTTAGGATTTTGGATTTGGGTTTCAGGGTTTAGGCTTTAGCGGGTTCAGGGGTGGCCAGAGAGTCCAATACCCCTTAACAAGGCATTATACCTTAACTACAGCTTTCGAACAAAGGTTCAAGTTCGTAAGAGCCAGAATTCAAAGCATCTTCATTCCTTAATTGAGGCGTATTGGGATCTCTGAGAAAATTCATACCGGCCTGAAACATTGGTAGGGTTCCTTTGAGGGTTCTATAGCAGAGTTATCTTTGAGACGGGGCGCCAGTTTTTTCGTTTGACGGGTTCTTTAAGCTTAGGGTTTAGGCCTGACAGGGTTTAGGCCAGGGTTTACGGCTTATAGAGTTTACCTTAGCCCTCAGGGACCTACCTTTTTAAGGACTTATATAAGGAAATCATATTCAGGAACCCTAAAAAGGTAGGTTGTTCCGGTTGAGGGTTCACCCTCAGGCCCCAAAGTAGTTCCTTTTTGGGGTGCATATTATATAGAATCCTCCAAGGTAATCCCAAAAAGGAACTACTTTGGGGCTTCTGGGTATAGAGTTTAGGGTTTTATGGTTTAGGGTTTTAGGGTTTATAAGGGTTTATAGAGTTTAGGGTTTTAGGTTAGAAGGGGCCCCCACCCTGTAATAGTGACTATAAGGATTATATTAGGGCCCTATTGTATTCCTATTATGCCACTATTACAGGGTGGGGGCCCCTTCTAGTTTATAGAGTTTAGGGTTTTAGGGTTCAGGGTTTTGAGGGTTTAGGGTTTCGATGGTCGAGGCTGGTTTGAGAGCTTTGCCGGCGTGTGTTGTGGTGTGGCTGGAGGTGCATCGGGTTCAGTGGTCTAGGCCTAGGCTCTAGAGATTGGGGTCGTAAGGTTCTTGGTTTAGGGTTTCTGGTGCCCTAAAAAGGGTTTAGGGTTTAGGGTTTGGGGTCCTAAACCCTAAGGGGGTGCACAAACAGCAAGGGGGGCATTGAAGGGTACGAGATCAAGGCTCATCCGGGTTTTGGGCTGAACTGAAGGCAGAAGCACAATGTTCTAGGGGCCTGAAGAGTTAGAAATAGGATTCCTTTAAAGGCCCTTGTAAGGGACACTTTGAGGGTACTATAAGGGTTTAGTATAGGTAGGGGCCTTAAGAATAGAATTCGGCTTTGAGGCCCATGGTACTATACTTATAATAAGGATCCCCACCCGAAAAAAAGTATATTTAATTATGTAGGCCCTTTTCTATGGCCGTGCATTGTGTTTGCTCCTTGTGGCCTGAGCACATCGTGCATTCGACAGAGGCGTGCGAAGTTTTACAGTCTACAGCGGTGTGATGCTGTGGAGAAATATAGGGGCCGAAATAATTACCAATGATAATTTTGGGGTTCCTTGTTTGCAACTGTAGTATCATGGGCCCCCAAACCCATTCTAATCAAGAAGGCCCCTATAGTAGAGCTTCTAAGCTGAGACCTTACGTGGTGCACTCAACATCTAACATACACAGTCGAAGCCTATTTGAGGTAATTTGAGAGGTCCATGTACGCAAATAGCTTCCTTCAAGGGTTCCTTTAAGGGTACCATAAGCTTCTATCAGGGTTCTATAGGGATTAATTCATGCTTAAGGGTCCATGTATCCAAATAGTAGACACTGTTGCCTTTTGTTAAAGTACTGCCTATATAGGTACATTGGGCCCAAAGTATATACTTTTTGGGTACATGGACCTTTTAGGGGAAGGTGTAGAGCAGCTCCATCTTAGAGACCTGATGAGTGCACAGAGGGCTCTTTTGGGAAGATTGATGAGTGTACAGGTTGTGTGCCTGTCATATATCCTGGTAATTAAAGCCTTATGGCATTTGGGATATTTTGTGGGCCCCTTCGCGGCAATCGTTCCAATCTGTCAGGGACGAGTCAGGGACGCCTTCTTGTGCAAACGAAACACTACCTTGTGTAAGGATACCTGATTCTTTGAGCTATAAGATTGCTTCTGAATTCAGGCTCTGGAGTCAATGAAACCCGAAACCCTGACCCGCAAGCCCTGTTTTTTGCAGGTTCTTCTTTATGATTTCTTGTATACGTCCTGAACCATGCCCGAGTTTTCGGGTGTGCCAGTGCCCGAAACCATCCCAAAGGCAACACTCGAAAATCCGGGGCGGGACAAGGCGGCTAGAAGCACACAAAATCCGAGGATGGCCCGCTTCTATGCCCCGACGACCATCTTCTTCGATGAGATTGATGCGTATGGAGCCCATTTTGAGGTTTAGGGCTTTTTTGAGGGGAAGGGGGCTTTGTTCTGCTATGCCAGCTTACTTATTTGAGGATGCCTGCCATCAAAACGGATCCTTTGCATAGTTCAAACGGCCGCAACAGACTTCGATGGACTCGCCGTCTTTAGCTCCTGTCTGAGCGTATCGACCGGCTGAAGGACAACGTCTTTCGCTCCTAGCTGAGCCTGCCAGAAATGTTCAGCACGCTCTTGTGTCGCCGTGCTTGAGCTTCGTGGCGTTGACGTATGTGCTTGCAGGTGTGTTTTACGCTAGTGCTGGCAATGAAGATTGTTTATTTTGCATAGTTCACTCGGACGCAACGAATGACGATGCACTCAATGTCTTTCGCTCCTATCCGAGCCTGCTGGGAATGTTTGGCATGCTCTTGGGTCGCCGTTCTTGAGCTTCGTGGCCTACATCTTTGTTTCTGGCAGGTGCAGGTGTGCTCGACACCAGTGCTGGCAAAGAAGATTATTTCGTTGCATAGTTCACTCGGATGCAACGAATGACGATGCACTCAACGTCTTTCGCTCCTATCTGAGCCTGCAGGGAATGTTTGGCATACTATTTTTTGTTGCGGTTCTTGGGCTTGGTGGCCTAGATTTGTGCAGCTGGTGTGCTTTAGGCTGGTGCTGGCAATGAAGATTGTTTCTTTGCATAGTTCACTCGGACGCAACGAATGACGATGCACTCAACGTCTTTCGCTCCTATCTGAGCCTGCAGAGAATGTTTGGCATGCTCGTGTATCGCCGTGCTTGTGCTTGATGGCCTAGATCCTTTGTCTGGCAGCTGCAGCTGAGTTACTTACTACCTGCACGTAGCGTAGTGCGGCAATGAGGATTATTTCGTTGCATAGTTCACTCGGACGCAACCGAATGACGATGCACTCAACGTCTTTCGCTCCTATCTGAGCCTGCTGGGAATGTTTGGTATGCTCTTAGAGCTTGGTGGCCTAGATCTTTGTCTTTGGCAGGTTGTTTTTTACCCTAGCGCTGGCAATGAAGATTGATATTTTGCATAGTTCACTCGGATGCAAAGAATGACGATGCACTCAACGTCTTTCGCTCCTATCTGAGCCTGCAGGGAATGTTTGGCATGTCGTTCTTGGGCTTGGTGGCCTAGATCTGTGCTTGCGGCTGGTGTGCTTTAGGCTGGTGCTGGCAATGAAGATTGTTTCTTTGCATAGTTCACTCGGACAGAATCGAATGACGATGCACACAACGTCTTTCGCTCCTATCTGAGCCTGCAGGGACTGTTTGGACATTTGTGGACGTGCTTGAGCCGGGTGGCGTGCAGTCGCTTTATACACCAGTGCTGGCAATGAAGATTGTTTATTTTGCATAGTTCACTCGGACGCAACGAATGACGATGCACTCAACGTCTTTCGCTCCTATCTGAGCCTGCAAGGAATGTTCGGCATGCTCTTGTGTCGCCGTGCTTGAGCTTCGTGGCATTGACGTATGTGTCTGGCAGGTGTGTCTTACTCTAGTGCTGGCAGTGAAGAGTGTTTATTTTGCATAGTTCACTCGGACGCAACGAATGACGATGCACTCAACGTCTTTCGCTCCTATCTGAGCCTGCAAGGAATGTTCGGCATGCTCTTGTGTCGCCGTGCTTGAGCTTCGTGGCATTGACGTATGTGTCTGGCAGGTGTGTCTTACTCTAGTGCTGGCAGTGAAGAGTGTTTATTTTGCATAGTTCACTCGGACGCAACGAATGACGATGCACTCAACGTCTTTCGCTCCTATCTGAGCCTGCAAGGAATGTTCGGCATGCTCTTGTGTCGCCGTGCTTGAGCTTCGTGGCATTGACGTATGTGTCTGGCAGGTGTGTGTTTACTCTAGTGCTGGCAATGAAGAGTGTTTATTTTGCATAGTTC